TTTTCATCGCGAAAACGAAAATAATCATTCATCAAGAAATATAAGACCCACAATACAAAGTCCTTTCTAAAGATCTTGGTGTCCATACACATTTTTGAGCAGGTGCTTACTGCTTTGAAATCATAACCCAAACAAAAACAAAAAGCGCACAGCAAAAAGCAAAATATAAGTGCTGGAAGAAAATGTCTGTGGTGAAGAGGGGAAAGGTTGGTCAGCACATTGTAAGTTAACAATGACAGCAAACAACAAAAGAAAACAAATAAGAAACAAAAGAAAACCAGTTTAATGAGCATGTAAACGGGATTAATATATGAAGCAACACAACAAAGGCAGAAAAAGGCAACTACTTACACAGCGGATGAGAAAAGACAAAACGCGTTGCATTGCGGCAGTTTCAGCGCAAAACAAATAGAAGAACGTAAACGCAGAACAAAGGAAAACAGACTCACAGCATACACTCAAACAAGACCAAGATAGGACCCATGAAAGACCACCAAGTACATAAAATATAAATTACTTACAGTGAGGAATGCGTTTTTGTTATCAGAATTCAAACTTGAACTGCGGAGGTAACGAATTTGATTGCCGTAGCAAATAATGTTTGCCTTTACCACGAATTTACCACACGATGTTTCTGATCGAAGTTACTTGGTCGATAGAGTGTTCGGCTCGTGACCTAGAGGTTATGGATTCTTCTCGCCTTTCTTCCTTCAGAGATTGATAAGTTAGTGGTGAGGAAACATCGCGATACCGACTCTGTTTGTCGCATAACTGCTGTCCATTCTGCCCTTAAAGCTAAATCTATCCTGGCCAATGACAATGCAATGGAGATCAGCGCTCCCTCAATTCATGACAACAACGGTGACAGAATTGGCAGCCTCATGTAAGTGTAAAACAGGCCTATATTTCAAACTCTCCTCATTTTCATTTCCTACTGTCGACCATGCCCATCAGCGAAGATAATTTAATTATCGGACGAAAAACATTCAAGCGATGCTAGAAAGATTGCAAAAAATGATAGAGTTATCGTTCACAGCATTCAGATCACGAAATTTTGTCTAAG